AAAAAAAAAAAAAAAAAAAAAATTTTCCCTCCAAAAAGTCCTTTTATTTCTCAATGTTTTATTATGGGAGATTTCAAAGATAATTAGAAAGCTAAACAAAGATAAACAGAATAGTAGTACAATGAATGTACTCGCTAATTTTATATGCCAATTTGACTGGGCCAAGTGTTGCCCAGATGAAACATTCTTTCTGGGTATGTCTATGTTTCCAGATAAGCTGAGCATTTCTATTTGTGGATTCAGTAAATTGTCCTCCCTAATCTGGGTGGGCATCGATTTGTTGAAGCCTAAATAGAACAAAAAGGTAGAAGGAGGAGCAATTTGCCCCTTTTGTTCCCTGCCAGCCTGTTTGAGCTGAGGCACTGGTCTTCTGCCCTTAGATTAGATTTATACTATCAACTGACTGGTTCTTAGGCTTTTGGACTCAGATTAGAATTTCAACCCCAGTTTTCCTGGGTTTCCAGCTTGCAGATGGCAGATTGTGGGACTTCTCGGTCTCCATAATGTCATGAATAAATTCCTCCTAATTAAATTTCATCATATTCCTGTGTATCTATCCATCTATCAATCTCCTATCAGTCTGTTTCTCTGGGGACATGACTACAATGAACCTCCATATGCCTTTCACTCAGCTGCAACAATGATCAACATTCTGCCATTCTTGTTTTTTTGAGATAGAGTCTTGCTCTTGTCACCCAGGTTGGAGTACAATGTTGCTATCTCGATTCACTACAACCTCCACCTCCTGGGTTCGAACAATTCTCCTGCCTTAGCCTCTCTAGGAGCTGGGATTACAAGTGCCTGCCACCATGCCCAGCTAATTTTTTTTGTATTTTTAGAAGAGAAAGGGTTTCACCATGTTGGCCAGGCTGGTCTCGAACTCCTGACCTCAGGTGATCTGCCCGCCATGGCCTCCCAAAGTGCTGGGATTACAGGTGTGAGCCACCATGCCCGGCCCCATTCTGCAATTCTTATTTAATCGATTACATACCTACTTCACCTTTAACATAGTATTTCCCAAACTTATTTGACTGCTAACTCCTTTTGGAACTCTGCAGAAAAGCACTCTGGCATTTAAACCATCAGCGGACTGGTTCTCAGGCCTTTGGACTTAGACTAGATGAGATAAATCTATCCTCTGTGCTCCCATAACTTTTAGCTCAACCCATCAAGTGCTCCAAGTGCTTAAATCACGTTCTCTATTAAATTAAAATGTTACCTGCAAGTCACCTATCTTGAAAACATGTTTAGTCAACATTCCATCCTTCAAGGTAACCTTAGTCACCAGGGTCCTGTTTTCAGGGTTGTAGGTTCCAGAGCTTGATTTTGTTACCTCATCAGAATTGTAGGCATGTTTTTTTGCAGGGCTAAAAGAGAGCATCTTTTAATTTTGAAATAGCTTCCAATTTATAGAAAAGTTACAAGAATACTGGGAAGAAATCCCATATACCCTTCACCCATATTCCCCCATTTGTTAACCTTTGACCACATTTGCTTCATTATTTGATGTATCTATCTAGCTATCTATCTGTCTATCTATCTATCTATCTATAGAGATACACACACACAGATGTATACATATACATATACATACACACATGTGTATACACATATATATTCCTTCCCCCCAAATCATTTGAAAATAAGTTCCATGCTGGGTGCAGTGGCTTACTCCTGTAATCTCAGCTCTCTGGGAGGCTGAGCTGGGCAGATCACCTGAGGTCGGGAGTTTGAGACCAACCTGGCCAACATGGCGGAACCCCGTCTCTACTAAAAATACAAAAATTAGCTTGGCGTGGTGGCATGTGCCTGTAATCCCAGCTACTTGGAAGGCTGAGGCAGGAGAATCGCTTGAACCCAGGAGGCGGAGGTTGCAGTGAGCTGAGATCACACTACTGCACTCCAGCTTGGGTGACAAGGCTAGACTCTGTCTCAAAAAAAAAGGTAAAAGAAAATAAGTTGCAGACATCATGCCCACTTACCTCAATGTGTATTTTCCAAGAACAAGAACATTCATTTTCATAACCACAGTACAATGATCAAAGAGATTCACGTTGACACACTATTATTACCTAATATATAGGCCTTATTCAAGTTTTGCCAAGTGTTCAAATGTCCTTTATAGCAAAACACACACACACAGAAACATCTTTATTTTTGGTGCAGGTTGCAGTCTAGGGTCACATGCTGTACTTAGTATGAATATCCTGAAAGAGCTAAAAAAAAAAAAAAAGTTCTTAAATACATCAATCTGGGAAAATGGGTATTTTTTTAAATGGAGGCTGGCTTTAAATGAAAACATAAATTCCTTTATAATGGGTGTTCTTCTAAATGCATGGCATAGCCAGGAGACTATAATCTACTTTTTTCACCCCTAGAGACAGGGTCTGACTCTGTTGCCCAGGCTACAATGATGGCTCATTGTAGCCTTAACCTCCTGAGCTCAAGCAATCCTCCTCCCTCAGCCTCTCAATTGGCTGGGACTACAGGCACGTGCCACTGTACTCAGCTGTTTTTTTTTTCTTTTAAGAGATCGGGTCTCACTATGTTGCCCCAGGCCAATTTCAAACTCATGGGCTCAAGTAATCCTCCTGCCTTGGCCTTCCAAGTCTCTGGGATTGCAGGTATGAGCCACTGTACCCAGCCTAATCTACTTTGTGTAGGTCCACAGGAAATCCAATGTCAGCAATTCATTAGGCAGGATGGAGAAAAGTGAAGGGATTACCAGGTGTGATATAAGGCTCTTGTAAGAAGCTCTGTGGCTCTTAACAGAGCTTTTGGTTTTCCTGACACTGAGATAGAAGATGTCCAAGCCTAATTATGTCACTGCTATCATCATAGAAAACTTGAGAAGTAGGGGAAAGCTCCTAGCATGGAGGTGGGAAATCCTCAGAAATCCATTCTTCTATATAAGGGATGTGCAGAGTTTCTGTCCTATTGGAATTTTTAATCTGTGATCAAATTTACTTTAATATAGGACAATAATGTGACAAAAACATGGATCCTCAGCCTGATGAATGAGGTCAAGTCTGAAAACAAGAAAGAGAACAAGTGAGTACTTGAATTAAAACCAAAGGCAGTCCTTAGTATTCTACTGTAAGGAATCTGATGCTACTCCCCATCAGGAGCTGCATCTCTTATCTAGTAATCATCATCTCTATCCGTGAGTATAAAAAACCTGGCCTCCCAGTGCTCTCCTTTCTTGGTTTACCATTGAAATCCATTAGGAATGCCATGACATATGCAAGACCACTAACCACTAGAGAAAGAATATTCATACATTGTTAGAGGCATTTAATAGTTTCTTTTTAAATTTTTTATTTAAAAATTCTAATATTTATAATAGAGATGGGGTCTCACTAAGTTGCCCAGGCTGGTCTTGAAATCTTGAGCTCAAGCAATCCTCCCACCTCAGCCTCCCAAAGTGCTAGAATTACAGGCGTTGGCCTAGCCATAAGAGGTATTTTCTATGACGTCATACAAATTCAAAGTGGAAGAGAACTTTAGATCATCTCGTCCAGCAATTTTTCATTTTGTTTTCGACAGACATAATCTTACATGGAACTACAATATATTCTATAGCACATAAAGCAAAAAGGGTGTGGCAAGAGAGGATATCAGATCTCAATTAGAGCCTGTAAATGGTTGTGCAAAAAAATCAGCTGCACAAGTCTGGTAGGTACCATCCCTCTCCATTATAATTTTATTTTATTTATTTATTATTTTTTTTAATTTTTTATTTTTTTGAGACGGAGTTTCACTCTTGTTACTCAGGCTGGAGGGCAATGGCGTGATCTCGGCTCACCGCAACCTCCGCCTCCTGGGTTCAGGCAATTCTCCTGCCTCAGCCTCCTGAGTAGCTGGGATTACAGGCACGCACCACCATGCCCAGCTAATGTTTTGTATTTTTAGTAGAGACGGGGTTTCACCATGTTGACCAGGATGGTCTTGATCTCTTGACCTCGTGATCCACCCGCCTCGGCCTCCCAAAGTGCTGGGATTACAGGCTTGAGCCACCGCGCCCGGCCTATAATTTTATTTTTTAAAGCTTTCCAGTGAAGATCGGAAAACCTGCTAGACAAATTCTAAAAGAGTTATAAGACTCATAGATTTGTACAGTTATTAACAGGGCAGTTGTCCAACAGAGGGTGGTAGTATCTTGAAGGAAAGGGATGCCTGTTTGAAATTTGCACAAAACCTGTCTGTATGTTGACTGGCTACAGGGCTGAGCCCCATTCACTCAACATCCCCCTGTCCTGAAGTCACTGCTTCCCAATCTATTCCGTCACGATACCTAGAAAATGATGCCTTTTTTTTTTCAGTCTTGCTCTGTTGCCCAGGCTGGAATGCAGTTGCATGATCTCAGCGCACTGCAACCTCTGCCTCCCAGGTTGAAGTAATTCTCCTGCCTCAGCCTCCCAAGTAGCTGGGATTACAGGTGTGCACTACCACACCTGGATAATTTTTGTATTTTTAGTATAGATGGGGTTTCACCATTGGCCAGGCGGGTCTTGAACTCCTAACCTCGTGATCCGCCTTCCTCGGCCTCCCAAAGTGCTAGGATTACAGGTGTGAGCCACTGTACCAGGCAGAATGATGCCATTTTTAAGTAAAGCAAAGTTAAGGAGAGAAAATGTGAATGGAACCGGTCCTGGGGGCTCACCCACTACAAGTCCTGTCTGGGAGTGCTAATGAAGTCAGCATACCAAGGCACACCAGCTGGGAAGCTCTTCCCTAAGTAATTGCTATCAAGCATAGCAATTCCTTTCGGGCCACCATGCCCGAAAAATTAAAACAAAAATTTTTTTTTAATTGGGGAGGGATAACATGGGGAGAAATGCCAGATATAGGTGATGGGGGGATGGAGGCAGCAAACCACATTGCCATGTATGTACCTATGCAACAATCCTGCATGTTCTGCACATGTACCCCAGAACCCAAAGAGCAATTAAAAAATTATATATATTTAATTTATATAAAATATGTAAATCAAATACATATATTTATATATGTATGTATAATATATAAATTATATATATATATTTATATATGTGTGTGTGTATGTATGTATGTATATATATATATATAAATTAAAGCTCCCTAAAGAGATGTAAAGCCTAAAAAAAAAAAAAATTTTTTTTTCGACATGGAGGTCTTACTATGTTCCTCAGGCTGGTCTTGAGCTCCTAGGCTTAAATAATTCCCCCACCTCAGCCTCCCAAAGTGTTGGACTGCAGATATGAGCCACTAAGCCCGGCCCATTGTGTCTTTTGAAAGATTTTAATACTTTTCACATCTCTTGCTAGACAAAATAGGGTCACCTATTGGTACATAATTCCAAAAAAGGAAACAACAAAAAAAGAAGTAATATTCCCAAGGTATAGGTCAAGAAGACAAAAAGGAATACATGCATACCACTCTATACCTGGACTTGTATACTACCATGTCCCTAATGATTTACATAGCTCAAGGTAGAGGAAATTGATCATATTGAACCAATATATCAACAATGGGTTTTTTTAAAAAAACAAGCTTTATTATTATTTTTTTTTTGGCACCATAATTAACAATTCATAGAATGGGTCACTTCAGGCCACTGAAGAGTACCAGGGAAAGAGTACCAGCACTCCCCCACAAACACACCCCTCCCACAAGACATTTAGCATAGAGGAACACATCCATGGCCACTGCAAAGAGAATTAGTCTTTCTACAAAACAAATCTCAACTCTTACCTGAACAGCCAATCTCTGAATTTCTGTAGTGGCTTTTTTATCATCATTTTTATTTAGGCATATTTATCATCATTCATTACTTAAAACATAAGAAAATTACAAAGCAGTGTTAAATTCCTGCACAACACCTTTATTTAATCCCAATTCAATGTTATGGATGCTCAGCTAATGTTGCAAGCCCCATCTCAGCCCATCTTAATTCAAACTGAAAAGAAACAAAACAAAACAAAACCAAAAAAGGCACCTGCCTGGTTCATGCATCTCTAGTCACCCAGGGGCCAAATTCCAAATCAGGATGACAAACAGTGCCCCTTAGTTCAATATTACATGTGTTTCCAGTCCTAACCCCAGAAACTAATCCATAGTTCCATCTGGACCTTAGTCTATCTGTATATCACATATTTCCTCTGGCTTTAGAATGATTTCACAAGCTGAGAAAGGCAAAACAACCATAACCCAGGCTTGCATGTAAGTATCTGGTTTCAACTATCAAATAATACTTAAAAGGGAACTGGAAATTGATCTGAACAGGGGTGAGAGTGGGTAGGTGGGTGCAAATGGTGGGCTCCCTCCAGCTCACAGTGCATTTATGAAGGTATTGCCAACTTTCTCAAAGATACTAGAGACAAAGGACAGAAGGGAAGAGACCAAGTGCTAAACACCTTTTATCACTTTTGCAAAAACAAGAAAGGCCAATTCCATTTATTTTATCATGTGGATCTTTTTTTTTTTTTTTTTTTTTTTTTTTTTTTTTTTTTTTTTTTTTTTTTTTTTTTTTTTTTTTTTTGAGACAGAGTCTTGTTCTGTCACCCAGGCTGGAGTGCAGTGGCGCGATCTCAGCTCACTGCAACACTCTGCCTCCCAGGTTCAAGCAATTCTCCTGCCTCAGCCTCCCAAGTAGCTGGGATTACAGGCATGTGCCACCATGACCAGCTAATTTTTTCTGTATTTTTTTATTAGACACCGCGTTTCACCATATTGACCAGGCTGATCTTGAACTCCTGACCTTGTTATCTGCCTGCCATGGCCTCCCGAAGTGCTTGGGATTACAAGGATGAGCCACCGCGCCTGGACATCATGTGGATCTCTTAAGGAACTACCAAAGCTACTAAGGGACCTCCAAGAATTTTGTGACCCATGAAAATCGCCTCTCCTAGTCACAAGGTATAAATATATAAAAATACATATTGGCAAATTTCTGTATCGGACATGATTTCTCCCAAATACAGCTGTCTTTAGTTCCTTTATTATTGCCTCTTTGCAACATAATGGTGATGGTGGGTGATGGAGTGACATCAGGAGCGCCAGAAGGAAGAAGTCAGAAAGCCCTTGGGGACAGGAATGTCCTTGTGTTGCAAACATTTCTGGTTAGGGAAAGATGAAGAAAACAGAATGAGTTTCTAGTAACAGTGCTCCCAACACAATGATTAAAAGAAGCTTTGAGGGACACCGTATTTCAGCCCTATGGAGCAGTGAACAAAAAGGAAAAAGCCAGTGAGACCAATGGTTCTATATAAGATGTCCACTTTGGGCTGGGCACAGTCGCTCACGCCTGTAATCCCAGCACTTTGGGAGGCCAAGGTGAGCAGATCACCTCAGGTCAGAAGTTCCAGATCAGCCTGGCCAATATAGTGAAATCCCATCTCTACTAAAAATACGACAAATTAGCCAAATGTGGTGGTGTACGCCAGTAATCTCAGCTACTTGGGAGGCTGAGGTAGGAGAATCGCGTGAACCCATCAGATGAAGGTTGCAGTGAACCAAGATCGCATCATCGCAGTCCAGTCTGGGTGACAGTGCGAGACTCCGTCGCAAA